AATTTTCGAAATCATTTGATAATTGCTACGTCATAGGTTTTTCATCATCAATTGTTGTTGAAATTCCTAAGGCAGATCTTTTACTTGATGATAAGCTGTTATAATGGTGAAACCTCAAATTTTTGGATAAATTTATCATGTAGCATTTGATTACACAACTCAACCTCCATGCTTGATTTTTTGCAAATGCATTGGATGCAATGGTTTTTATGGTTGTACTCCTGTGAATGAACATCTGGGCTGTGATTTGTGAATTTGCTCCAAATTTGAGAACTATTTAAAGAACATTCATCAAATGCCAATTGAGTTTGTCCACGGTTTTATGGGTAGAGAAGTATGGTATTTATGTAGAATTTCTCTCAGAAGAGCTGTCTTCGCACTGGCAGGCACTCTGAGATCACTCATCTTTAAATTTCTTTGGCAATCACGTATGCTTCTATGCAGGAGAAACAGAGAAACAGAGACGCTTTATGTCAAATGCAACAGGAACAAAAATCTCCAGATGGAAGAACGGCGACCGTTCCAAAGGAGTTGAACGAGTTCTTAAGGTGTATATGACTAATCATCCAATCACCTTGTATCCCCAAGATACGGAAGGTCATCTTGCAAGACAAACATAACATGAACGGATGAATACCCCTAGTTCATGGGCTGCACCGAGGCCAGTTTTATCTTTCGACTTTCGAGAGCCAACTCCTCTGCATCCCATCAGATATAGAACAATGTTGCGAATGCTCGGAAGGAAGATTAAGGATTTTGACCGGCCCATGAAATGCATTATAATAATTATTGTTGTTGTTGAAAAAAAATAAAAAAATAGCAGATGGAATTGGTAAGCGCACAAGTTGGTATTGGCAAAACCGACCTCCTCGACTTGCCTGATTAGACAGACATCAACGTGCAATCATGTTTTCTTTTGGCCTGCTTTATGAAATTAACAAATCATGAACACAGAATGAAATCCAAATTAATATTTAATTAGGCAACGATACCTGGCAGCTACCCTATTTCTGCAGTAACTCCACAAATCGCAGCGATAATGGTCGACATAATTTTACAGGTATCACATGGATTGGTGAATATAAGGGTGACAGGCACCAGAAAGTAAATTTTCCCATACAAACACAAGGAAGATAAAAGAAAACATCATCAGCCAACAAATGAAACATACTCAAACACTGCAACTGTCAAATAAATTCTAGCTTCTGATTTTCGTGGCTAATTTCCTTTATAATTGAGAATGGAAGATTGATTTATCAATTACAAAGCACCTGAAATGATCACAGATGATGTGGCCAGAACTCTATTTCCAGAGGACAATAATTGTGTATTGAACTTTCGATTGCAGCCTGGTATCACAATCAGTGTAAAGAACACCCAGGTTCTTTATGTCAAGTTAAACACTGAATGCTATCTGATCTAATATGCTGAACTTCTAAGATGAAGAAAAAAAAATCTAGAAGTTTCAAAGATGGTGTGTTATTGTCAATTGCGATACAATAACTGCATAAATGCTCTGTCTAACTTTCCTATGAAAAAGGTGCTTCAAGATTACAAGTCCTTAAAATCTCCTGCATCACTGCCACCACGAAACGGGACCTAAACCATCACCATCAATTGATCCCTGCAAAACTAATAACTAATTAGAAAAGGTTCCTGAAAAGCTTTGTTGTTTGCCAAGGAACAGGAAATTGATAAAAAAGATGAGCTGCACTAGCATCAATATTTCCTTAAGAGAGGGAGAGAGGTTGTTGAGTTGTTTTTTAACAAAGCTCTGCCTCAATGCGACCTTTTATGAACTTGCAGTTTCATTATCATTACAGACTCCTGTTCGACTTGTTTGCAAGTGTAAGAGCACAATAAAGAATATTTAATAGCAGACTGGAAAAAAGAAAACAGAAAACAAGGATAGAAAGTTTAGGTTGTCTAAATTCTCCATCTGCCTCGCTCAAGAATCAAACTGAAATACTGCCTTATTGATTTATTCATTAAACAATGCCCAACGAAATCAAATAAAAATCAATTCAGAAAACCTCTCACATGAGCACTCATACAGCAATACATCCACACGAGTACTAATCGGATAGACATGCTTTGTATTCAGTACTTGAATGGACTTTTGAAATAATTTGATAGATACCATACTGTAAATTAAATTACGAGGAAGAGTAAATATAAATCAAGGAAACAGATGAATGGACTGTATTGATTGCAAAACACTCAAATATAGAAACCTACAAAAGGTGACCTGCTTCTTTCATGGTAAGAGTGACGGGAGGAAGAGTAGGTGGCAAAGAAAAACAAGAAACAAATTCTCCTGCTCTTTGGTTCAGCATAAAAGCAGTCTTTAAAGAAACATAGTTTTACATGCAATGCTACAACATTTCTACATTGAAGTTAGGAGGAAAAACTTACTGTAATCACCATCGGTGCAAATGGCTCCCCTTGTTGCTCAATAGGAGTTGGGGGATATGTTACACTGATAACTTTAAACCTTATCTAGCATTTGGAAAGAAAAAAGTAAGAAACAAGTTGAAGTTTAGAGCCTTTTCCTATAAAAGAAGAGACACCACCAACCTCATCAATGCCATCTACAAAAAACTCTTCGCCATTAAATTCCCACACCCATAGGACCTTATACCTGCAATTTTCATTATAGACATTCACAATTCATTATTTGTCAACACAGATGTAAAATGCGAGGCAAGAAAAAAAGAAGAAAAATGCCAAGTAGAGGAGATTCCATTTCCAATTATTAGCCCAATACAGGAAACTAGATGGGGAACCTTACCTATTCTCTGGGTCTGGAACACGATGGGATGGTTTTTGTATAAGACCAGCTGGTATGTTAATATCATCAAAAAATCCAAGTGACACTGTCAAATATGGTTTCAACATGAGTACGCAGGAACCACGTAGATGTAGCTCAACACAATGAAACAGAACAGAGATTAAAGAATGCAAAATGTTGGCTTAATTTTTGCAACAAGTAAAACCAAAAAGACATCGATAAAACAAACAAGATCATGTTGTAAGAAAATGGATCCATTAAATAGCCTCCCATCCTAGCAACCTGTAAAACCCAGCATACACCAGCATATTACCTAGATAATCCCTGGGAATGACTATTCATGTTCCTGAGCCCAGAAAAAATGAGCAACCCAGCCTACAGATCATGCAATGACGGGGAAACTTCCAAAGTGTCCCCACCCCCTTGTTGCCAAAAGAGGTGGAAGATGCAAAAAACATGAAAAGCTGCAGCCAGCAGTTGCAATTAGTTGCGTTTCTGTGAAACAAGCTAACTGAGAGAAAGGACCATTTTAAAAGTTAAGGAACTTGCAGAGGCAAGTTAACCAAAGATAAAGGATACCAATGATATGACTAAACAAGTGCTTATATTAAATTATAATTCGTGAAGCAACAGATGGATTCTCTACAATTCTGTCCCCACATAAAAAAAACAAAGCATCATGCCAGTTAACTGATGCAGTCCTCAACAACTTCTTGCACCAACTATAGCCTCTATTCAATTTATCATGCCATGGAAAAATTGCAATATAAAAAAAGATTGTACTATCAAAAAAAGAGGAGGAGAAGAGAGAAACAAATGATATGCGGAAGTAACTGTTGAACATACAGCGCAAACCATCTGCGGTGGATTCTTTAAGTTTCGCAGATATAATCTCTCCCACAAAAGGACGAAAAACAATCATTCTAAACTCCACCTGTCAAAATAATTAAACACCATCATTTACTCACTGCAGATTAGTTCTTTAGTAAAAGCAGACACTTCTTGCAAAGTACACTGAATGTGTTTTACGTAGATATTCAACAAAAGTGACTGCGTATGCCCCTCCGAACAAGTTCACATGTTTTATAATTCAACAGTCTAACTGAAAGTTGAAACCATTGTCAAGGAAAAGAAACACGCTTCACAACTAAAATTCTAGAAATGTGGAAGATGGCACATAGGCACTACCCTTTTCTAGGAGGCAGCTAAGGAAGGACCCAATTCTAGTGAATCGTGAGCTGTGAACTAATGAATCCACAATAAGTTTCACAGCATCAATGAGGGTTGGCATCTTCCCTAGGTAGTATACTCAAAACGTTAAATAAATAAAATGGAAAAAGTCTCCACAAACTACACAAAGATTTGAAATTCAGGGGGGTTAAATAGTCCATATGCTTAAGACAATATTCACATAAAACACATCTATTAGACTCAAAATGCTAGCACAGAAAAAGAAGAAGGGAAAACACAAGCACAAAAAGGAAAAGCCATGGCTTACCGTATAGGTTGAAGCACCTTCACCGGGAGATATAAAGCCACCATCAATTTTTCTGATGTCATAGATTGAAATACAAAGTCCCAGCTTTGATATAACCTTCATTGCAAACAATAATTTCCATTTTTACTCAATATTTCAAAGTGCTTAACATGAAAATACAAGGACAGAAAGGAAGAAATGTACAAAGGGATATGGTAACTACCTTATCCAAGAAGATATTTTGAAGCTCTTCCTTGATAGCATCTTGGAGAGGAAGATTCAGAAGACGAGGAGGCAATAGCATCTTGTGCTCTATCAAGCTCAGATAGAACATCTTTTTTTCTTTTTTCTTTTCTTTTCTTTTCTTTTCTTTCTGAATTTGCCTACCAAATAACTTTCGTAAACCAGAAAAAGAAAAACAGAGAAGGAAGCCAAAAGCAGCGGATGATTAAATTGAACAGCAAATACTACACGGTCTGCTTCATATTAAATTCACTGATAGTACTTACTTTGTCAATTGAAACACGATCAGTAGGAGCTAAAATCGGAGCCTTGCCGTAGAAAGGAGCGCTGCAGGAGGAGGAGGAGGAGGAGACGGGTTTTTTTTTTAATCGCGTTTTGTATAGGGTTTAGGTACCAAAAAAAAAAAAAAACGAAAAAGAACAAAATCGCGCGTGTTTTTTTGTAAATATAATAAAAGGAAAAAGACCAATTTTTTAACCAATGAGCAATGGACACGTGTACGGCTCTATCGCTCACCGCTCGTGTTCTTACTTATAATCGGCGGGACAGAGGAGCAGGAACATTGAGAAACCAGAGTAGTTTTCTTCATTCTATACTCCAATATTATCAGTCATCCGTGTTCAGTTTGGTGACATGTGGCAGTTATTGAAGTCTCTTCATTATCGACAACCTCGACCAGCTATCCGTGTTCCTCGACAGGTCTCTCACTTTGTCTCCTCCTTGTTGCAATCATGAAAAAGGAGCTGCTGATCTGTTTCTTTTCAGAATCGGTCTTCCTGCGTTCGATTTTTATCTGTTTTCTACTTTTTTATTATATTTTATTGTTCTTCTCTGTGTTTTTTTTTTCCATCCATAAATGGCCTGCGTTCGATTTCTATCTGCTTTCTACTTCTGTAATATATCTTAGTGTGTTTCTCTTCTGTGTTTTTTAACATTTTTTTCTGAAAATTTTTAAAGATCATGATTTAATAATGTTAATTTGGATTTTTATTATCTGTGGTATCAGATTTCGGGCAGTCAAAAGAGAGAGATTCCTGATGTTGTGATCGAATTTTAAGTGAACAAACAGTAATTTTTTTTTGTAAATTATTGGGAATGATTTATATTTATGTTTGCTTCTTTATCATTTGTAGTTCCATGGGTGGATTCCATCGATATCGTTCCGAGCTTGATGCAATGGAGGCTAAGCTTGCTTCATGGTCGTTTGCTTTTGTTTTTGTAACTTTTTCAAATGTATCGCAGTGTCAGCTATCACTCTTGCATTTGAGCTTTACTGGGGGGAGCCCATGCGAGAAGGGGAGGCGGGCTTGGTTTTATTTTTTCACATCTAAACCCAGCATTCAAGTGTTGATTCTTTTGTGGGTGAATCAGCTTCATGGACATTTTCCCTAACCCTATTGCATACTAGATGCCTGGAGAAGTTGAGGAAAGAGGTGAATGACCATTGGTGTTGTGAACCTGGTTTAACGCATCTGGAAATGGTTAGTAGAGAATACCATATCTGGAAATGGTACGTGTTTCTGATTAATGATAAACTTTTCAGTGATCAGTTTATGCACCATCTTTGGATCATGGTGTTGGAGATCCAGAAGATGGATATCTTTGTGAGCCTGCAGTAAGTAATCGTTTACTTTATTAACATGCACAATTTTTTTCCAGTGGAAGCTATTTTTGTTTTTTTGGAAGGTTAAACATGCCTATAAATCCTATTTTCATGCCCGTTGCAGGCATATAAAGTGGCCATAGTTGAAGGAAATTATCTATTGTTGGAAGATGGGGCTTGGAAGGATGTGTCTTCAATGTTCGATGAGAAATTAAGTGTTATGTTCTTGCTAGGCTAGGACGTGTCTTCAATGTTTGATGAGAAATGGTAAGTGTTATGTTCTTGCTAGGTTATTTTCCTTCTCTATTTTGTCGTGGAGCAGATATATATGCTGAGTATTCATGCCAAATTTTTTTCATTAGTGTTATTTTCCCTAGTTTTTATACGTCTGACAGGGCTGGCATGTAGCAATAATGTTGAGAGCTGTATCATGCTTAAGGGCAACTTTGCATTCTTAAGTTCTGCTTCCGAGAGCTTTTCTCACGTGGTTCAAATCAGTGTTTCAAAATATGTTTTATGAATGTCCTCCCTTGGCACGAGACAGAATTTCAGGGTCACTTTGAACCTTGTATCTTTACATTGGATTATCCTCTCATGATGCTGTCCATGCCAGAATATGGAATCAAAAGCACAAGAAAAATGAAGATTAAGTCTGGAAGTTAGATGTATAACGATACACACTGTTGGGATGCAACATGGTCTTTAGATCACAATGTGTTGCAAACCTGCAGTCCATTTCAGTTAACATCATCTTGGGTTCGTGCTACTGTTTGGATTAGTAACTGCTGTTTCCCTTGCTTTGCTAATTTATGAAACCAGACGTGAGGAATTGGCACTTAATTCTTACAGGTCATACACTTAATGAAAACGTCCGATGACTAACCTTTTACCACATCTTTCAACTCCCCTTTCAACACACAAGATTTTCCTATAGGATAGAATTGTATAGACTGTTATGAGCAGATGATAACTTTAACTTGAATGTTTTGAGGTTGGGTGGATTGCTTGCACCATCCTGGAAGTGTGCCCCATCTTCACAGCAAGCCACTTTTATCTCTTCTGTTTTTTTTTTTTTTAGGGTTTATTGATGTGGACATTGATACAGAAAGGCATATAGTTTTAAAGAGACACATTTTACAAGGCATGGCCTCATTTTCTGTTTTTACTGTTTACTGCTTCTACAGTTCTACTAGGGAAAGGACAGAAAGTCTTGTGATTTTAATTCCATGTTGTCTAACAGGAAAGCCTCCAGATGTTTCAAAATGGCAGGTAAGCCTCACTTTGTTGTCATCTTCAAACTTGGTTTTTTTTGGATTGCTGGTTTCTCTACATCAATCTTACTTTCTTGATTGTAAATGTAACGTGGAATTAAATTCATCTGCAGATAGGACAACGAGCAGCGTAATGCAGAGCTGATTATCAAGTCAAAGAAAAATGCAGATTTAGTAATCAGGTCTATCAATTTCTAGAATTGATGTGATGAATTAATGGAGAAAGAGAAATGAGATCACATTTTCCTGTTAGGCGTTAACTTAATGGAAACTGAAAAAATGAATAAATAATGAAGGATATGGCTTCTTCTTTTTTCTCCTTGCTTCTAACATTTTCATTCACATGTTCATTTGTTACTTCAAGATTCAGACTAACCAAGTTATTCAAAATGCAGTTTTTTATAGAAGCAAGTTAATGCCTGGTTCCCTTTATAGTTTGTACAGAGAGAAGTCAATAGACTGTAAAACCTGATTCCTTTGGGCACCTAACACGGGAAATTGTGATCTGATTAATTGATTTGTGGCACATAGTTGGAAACTACTTTAGTTGCTTGTTTAGCATAATAGCATCTCACTGACCAAGTAAATAATTGCTGTACAAAGAGATGCCTTGATTGTTTTACAGATAATGCGTTGCAAAATGTTTCAGGACTGAGTGCAACTACAAGGATACCGAAGAAGAACAAGCGAAGGGTACCGCAAGATTTTACAAATTAATATTACAGACATGTTTGTTTCTTGACAATTATAAAATTATATTTTAAATTTTTTTATATTTATTTGATATTAAAAAAGTTAGCTAATGAAAAAAAATTTCTAATTAAAAAAAAAATAAGTTGGTTTTTTAAAAAATATTTTTCTAAAAAATTTAGGATGAAAATATTTTTTAAAAGTTATAAAAAAGGTGGTTGTACACCACATAACATGGATAGGTAGGCAGCCCGTAAGTCTTGTACTTCCCAATACCAATATCCAGCCATGGTTTCATGACTCCATCATAGCGTAATACCACTGCCTGCTCAATCTCGTCCTGTCCAACATCCCCCTGATAGCCGAGACCAAGTGTATGCCATCTCCTGTCCAGATTAACTGTCCGGTTGTAGAAAGTTGCCCAACCTTAAGGCAAACTCCCCGCCTTCGACAATTGCCTTTTGTAGCCCTGCAACAGATAATGTAGCAAAACAAGCCTTCTAAGATGCATGGCAGTTGAAGATAGATTCATCCAATCATCGCCCAAGAGAGTCTCACAAAGCCCGGCCTACATTAGATTTCCATGCTAGATGTTGTATTACATGCTGATGCTTTTTTTTTTTCTTTTTGACGATGAAAATACCGAAACCAGGTGCTTTGGGCCCAATGCAGGCTGCAAACCCCTAAGACCATGAACGGCACCTCACCCGTGTACAGGGCGAATCGACGGTATAATCTCAGCATGGCAAGATGGGAGTCAAACCCCTGACATCAGACCAGGGAACTCCCAGTCTTACCAACTGAGCTACCCCTGAGAGATTAATACATGCTGATGCTCGTAAATGATCTATATATGTGATATTAAGAGCACGTTGATCAAAACATGGAAAAATCGAGAGAGGAGTAAACATCTTTTGAAGATGAACAATGCTAAATCAGCAAGCATGTTTTTCAGAACAGCAGAGATAACATAAATCCAGAAAGCATGTCAGCATGCAAGCATAAGCAAATGTGTAACAAGAGATAGTCACGTACCAGTTGCAAGTATTTATTATAGAGAGCTGTTAAATTATGCCTCTTCCACTCTTGCATATCAAACAAATTCATTCCAAATGCCCATGTGCATGCCTTGACATTAAACCTCTTAATCACAAATGGATCTGAGAAATTGATGAACATATCCATCCGGCAAAATGAAGGTTTGTTGCACACCTCAGCTCAAAGTAAACCATGCACAATATTCAATTTGAAAAGCTTTTTCCGCAGGTATCTAAGCCGACCACATGCACGGAGAATGACATCTGTACCAGATTCCTGTCATAGTTAATGATTTCTGATGGTACAAGGCCAAGAATAAGACTGGCATATTCCAAAAAAGTAGTAGAAAGGCTACAACTAGAGAGTTACATAAAGCAAGAAAAAAGCAAGAAATAGAACATTAAGATGATTTTCACAGCTAGCTTCTTGAACCATATAGAAATTTCATCCAATTTCAAGCCTGCTCCACGATAAAAAAAAGAATAGAAAGCATGTTGTTACAAAGTCAGCTTATGTGTTCCATGGCAATGCGATGCTATTGCATCTTTTAGGAGTTTTTTTTCACAAACCTCCAAGGCCTGTCACCTAGGTTCGCCTTGCCTAACTTTCTTTTCCCTTTCGATAAAATTTTCTCGATGGCGCAATGCTCACACAATTTGCTAGGACATACAAAAAATATTGTTTCGACTTGGACAGCATGTATACTATTCTGGCAAATATGATACAAGCATGTTTGCAGGCACAATTTTTTTTCTCTCTTGGAGAGAGAAAAGGTGTCAGTCTTAACATAGGAACCACTAATGGGAGCCAGTTCACTTGCTGGAGATGATTTAATTGCCGCTTATATTTACTCCAAATAACTTTTTCTCTGTAACTACGCAAGTTATAACAGCCTCATCAGAAGCCTGAAGTGAAATCTGTATACACAAGCTAAAAAACAATTAAAAAAGGCAGATGCAGTTTACCATGGCAGAGGACACAGTAGAATTGACAACCACTGCACAGGACAGAACATTGCCAGTGAAAACAGTATAGTGATGGAGATCTGGATCCTGCACTCTGTGTTGGTTAGAGACCTGTCTTTCCTCAGCTGGCAAGGCAAAATCTTCAGCAGTCAACCGCATGGAAGGCAGTGTAGGCCTTTCGGTGTAGTCCTTCCTGCAAGCTGAACAAGATATGTTGCTTGATTCTTCTGAGCTCGAACCTCTTCTTCAGCATTGTAAGTCATGGCGCGGAGCTTTGAAGCCATGGCAGAGCAGTCTGGGAAAACACGACTGACTCTTGACAACATAACCTCCAAGGATCTCATTTTCTGATGTGCACTGTAAATGTATATATTAATGTTCGGATTTTAAAACAATTCAATTCTTCTCCAATATGTACAAGCAATTATCAGATTTTATTTGCTGAACCACATTCTAGAATTCCTTGTCAACTTTAAATTAATGCCCTGCATATTGAAAAAATCAGCATCAAAATACAAAGTATAACGATGATGTGATACCTCCTTGATAAATCTGAGTCCTTGTTGGATGAACTAACAGCTCCTTCTGATTATTTTATTCGGTGTCTCAACTCTTTTACTAAGCGATAGTTGCTGCCTGGTGGCCACATGCTTAAGTATGTCTTCCCTCTAAGCACATAATCTTTCATCTTCTTTACCTTCCTATCCGTAGATCTCTGAATTGGATACCCCTGCAGTCAAAACCAGAACATATGATAGACAATTAGAACAGCCGACCATGCTTGTATCTAACTTAGGAGCCATTTGTTTATGCGGTGCGGCCGACTTTAAAATATATATATACATATATATATATATATATATTAACGAAAATTCCTTTTAAAAACAATGGTACTATAATATCAAATCCTGCTTTATTTTACAACAAATCTGCATCACAAGCATAAAGAATTTTCTTAGCAACCAAACTTAAAAGCGAGACTTCTTACCAAATTTGACAAATCAGAAATCAATTCTTCCCGCCCTGCCACAACAAGTCTACAAAAAAAGAAGAAAAAAAAATCAATCAAATCACCAATTATAGCAACATCAAAACCATGATTCTACTAATGTAGAAATCTTCAGTGAAAATAACAAGAGATTCAATGATCAGTAAATTTTTATCCTCAGTAAAATTCCATTTCCTTATCAACGTGTTTTGAATGTTTAACAAACAGAAACAGAAAACTGAAAAAGAAATTTACCTAGAGAAACGATAAGGATGGGAGCCAGCACAGTTAAATAGAGCACAGAGAGTGTCAAAATCCAGTGCCACCGTCGGAATTTTTTCATTTTATATTCAATAAAAAAAAACAAATCCTCGCTATTTTTAGGTTTTATTAAATTGAAATCAATCGTTCTCCAAAAAGCACATTTCACAGACTCATCAAATCGGCACAAATTCGATTCTTCAATAGCAAGCAATGAAAAAAAAAGCTAGGGTTTCAGGCTTTCCTTTTACGGTGCTTTGTGTTTTTCACGGCGACAGAGAGGAGGGGGGAGAAGGGAGGGAGTTTTAAAGAGCTTGAAGTTTCAAGATTGCTTCCCTGTGAGGGCGTGGGTTCGTTCTATTTGTTTCTTTTTTTTTAATTATTCGGACAATTTTCGAGACGCGGAAATGACGATGAGGGACGGGTATGGTAGCCTAAGATGGGGTAAACGAAGCTGATGATGAGGACTAGGATGGTTGGTCGTTGATTTCTGTGTTCGGGTCCAGATCTGATTCTTTGGGCCCTTTTGCCAGTTTTAAGGCGTGGAAGCTTTTAAAAAAAAATTAAATGTGATTGATTTCAGGTAGTGAATCTCGTTTATATCATCGCTAATGGACAAAGTAATGATTGCTCCATCACAGTTAAAATCGAATTTGGAATCTTCTGGCCACGTGGCTGGAGATGGACTGCCTGATCTTTTTTGGGGGGCTTTGTTATCTGTTAGTGGTGCTCTAGTCCGGGAAGTCGCACTGATGCAGCAGACAAGTCTTCTTGTGTCCCTTGAGTTTTTTTTTTTTATATATATATAAATAAATATTTTTTTAATTAATTTTATTTTTTCTTGTTCTGTATAGTTTTATTTTTCATAATTTTTTTATTTTTAAAAAATAGTTTTTCTGTTTTGTTTTTTCTATTTAATATTATAAGGGTTTTATAATTTTTCTGTGTAAATGGTTATGATAGTATTTTTTGGCAAGTGAGACTAACATTAATTAAAATTAAATATTTTAAGTATTTTTTTTTTATAATTATGGTGTTATTGATTTTTAAAAATTTTAACTTGTAATAAATCTCATGATTTTTTTTTTATCTTTGTTTGCATTGGTTGATATCATAATTTAACCATTCCTAGTGGTTTTTATTGGAGGTCATAAAAGATATATATCATAATTCAACAATTATTATGCCTTGTTAAATAATTATGATTAGAAGAAGTTGCAAAACAAGATGGGCTTATATAAAGAAGGAATAAAAATGTTTTCTCTCAAGAAAAGATACTCAAAAACTAATATGTTATTTTTATTTACATTAATTGTTATTAAAAATCCTAATAGTGGGGTCCCTAATAAGATGCTCTACTTAAAAATATTGTGTTAAGAATTCATTATGAAAAGACATGTGCAAGGTTTTCCAATAACCTACCAATGATGGAGCTAATCTTTTTTAAATGAAGGAGCAGATTACTAATAAATACTTGATATTATATATTATATAGACATGTGTTATATATAAAAAAATCAATTTAAAATATATGTATTAACTCATGTCAAAAAAAATTAATTTAAAAATATTTTTAAAATAAACAATGATTATATCCATTTTCAACCTTTACAAGTACTACCACAATGATCTAAAACACTCACACATTAATAGTATAAGCCAAAATAGCATTAATCATTGAAGCATTGAAAAAGAAAAGAAAAAAAACTTAATCTTCGTACTCAAACAAACTTGGTAGTTAGCACAATATATACTGAAGGGATTTTCACCTAATCTCACCATTCAAACAAAGTGCAGTTGTGCTTGTGATTGTCATGTTCAAAGCCTCTCATCACTTCCATGCATAACAAATAACCCACCAATGATCAAAGCAAATTGTTTGTGAAAGACTTACACTTTCCAGTAGCCAAGTACAGCTTTTTATATTGGGATTCCTGTGAGTTAAGATGTTAGGAAGAAGGGCAAGATGCCGGGTCACGCTTTTGCTAAGAGGATGATTTTTTGAGAAAAAGAAAGAGAGTGGAAGGCGAGTGAGATGAATGAATGGAGAAAAAAGAACTGAGAAGAGTTGGTCAATAATTTTTATTAATTTTTTCAAACTCTATAAACTCGGTCTGAATTTAATCAAGTTTGCTAGCTTTTAAGTTTTTTATCTGATTTTATTTGTTATATAATTTTATGAGTTCATATACAAGTTTGACAACCACAACTCCAATCATAATTTGTGTCTAAATCTTCGGAGATCCCTATTCTTCTCCATAATTATACGTTTATCCGGTAATTTCATTAGTTTTACATCATTCTCTCTTTTATTTAATTATTTTTGTTTTCTTTACTGGGTCATCTTTCTGTGGTCTGGGTCATCCCTACAGGATAGGTTACTAGTTCTCTGTTCCCATTTGTGTTTCCATGCCATTTATAAACCTAGTGCAAGTCCTATGCCGAGTGACTTCAAGGACGATCTTGCGTACGTCAGAAGCCGAGGTCAAGGGAAGGCCAGTACGATAGGGTGCAAGATGATGTCGATACGGACTTGTAAAACCGTAGCATTTTTTCAGTTAATCACACAGACTACAATACACGCTTGATGGGGTTTTACATTTTTTCTTGTATATTTCTGCTGTATAAACATGGAGAATTGCTTCTCCTCTCTTACTCATGGGCGGTGAATTGTGACAGACACTAGAAGCTATTTTAAGTCTACTAGATGCACGTAGGAGAATTGGAGACTGCTGCACATCTGCTTTAGATGGCGAACTTCGATGTGCTTGTATTAGCCCTTTGGGTCTCAAAGATTAGGATGCCCTTTCTTCTGTGACCATTTTTGTACTAATTAATTACAGCTAGAATTAGTCAAGATTTGGCTTAAAGAAACAAACATTTCATCTACTTTTACTTAGCCTTCGACCCAGGATTTTTCTCTTTTTTGAATTTGTTCAGTATTTTATCACATTTCGTAGGAAGACCCTGGTTTTGTAGAACTGATATTCAGTGGTGAATATCTCAAGTCTTGGAATAATCACATGAGAAATTGCTCGGTAGCTTCTACCAAATAGAGTTAGCAAAAACGGGGCTTCTGGTTTCTTCATTCTTTTCTGTTTGCTGGTAAAAGACTTGCTTTACATTATGCGGTTGTCAATTGGATCGCCCACATAACCCATAACAGTTTCATGACTACGTTTCCTGTGATTCCTTACCAATGCATTAAATTCCTTTGTCTAAAGATGTTCCATTGAAGCTAACTAAGCTTAAAGTTAGCTTCTATCTGCCCAAATGCAGTGATATGAACTCTCCGCTATACACTTCAGGGCTTTTTTATTAGGCTGTGCACCTCATTGGGGCTTCTTTTTTTTTTCGGTTGCCCTCGAGACACATATGATACAGAAGCCTTACATTGAGTATTATGACACCCAAAGAAGACAAGAAAAAGCAGAAGCAAACACTAAGAAGGAAGTGAAAAAAAACCGTATATCAAGATTGTTTGGTTCTCCTGCACGCATGGAGAGGCACCGGCGTTAATTAGTGATGGAAAGTTGTACGAGGTTAGGAATTAGGAGTCTTTTCATCCCGACTACAAATTGACAGCCTGAAATTAGCATTTCTTTTGCCCTTTATCACTGTTATAATTGTAATTATATAAATCCAAGTTTCTGAATTTTCTGAATTTAGATATAAGCAGGCAGGTAATGCTGATTAGAGCACAAAGTTGTCTATTGTGTGGGATTAAATCGCAGCATGCAGTGCAATAAGTCCCTTTTTCTATACCTGGGCTTGTAGATTTACTGTCAGAAATCGTTCTGGTCTCCAGATAGGATGAAATTGGATATCTTATTGCTTACAATAATCATATGGCAGACCTTCACATATCAAGAAAGTTGTCTGGCCCATGACCTTCACCTGTGTCGTTGTTGCAGTGATTCTGAACAACAAAAATAACAAAGGATAATGCTTGTGTTTAAGAAGAGATTGATGAATGAAAAGCTTGAATACTTTATTCATAACTGCAGCTCAATTTATAGAGCTGATACATAACAAACTCCTACGATCAAGATCCTACATTCAAGCCATGATCAATTGATAATGAAAATAACAGAGCGGCGAAATAGCAGCAAGAACAAGAGAATAGGAACAAAATTGACCAAATCAAAAATTAAAGAAAGAATACAATTCCAGTTCAGCAGTCCTGAACATTATTTCTAACACTCCTCCTTGTTTAGGAGCTGCAAACTCCCAACTTTGTTCTCAGAAATTCGAATTTGTTGACTGGCAGTGATTTGGTGAAAATATCAGCTGCTTGTTCTTCAGTTTTGCAGTAAATAAGAATGATACTCCCATCTTTCTGCACCTCTCTCAAAAAGAATAATTTGATGTTGAAGTGCTTGGTTTTCCCGTGAAACACAGGATTATTAGAGATGGAAATGGCAGCTTGATTGTCAACTAGAATTTCTGTGCTTTCCTTTTGCTCCAGGTTAAGATCAGATAAAATTTTCCTCAGCCACAAAGCTTGATTGACAGCAACTGTTGCAGCCACAAACTCAGCTTCAGCAGTGGATTGAGCTACGGTTTCTTGCTTTTTTGAATTCCATGAAAACACACCAGAACCTAAAGAGAAATAGTAGCCTGATGTGCTCTTCAAGTCATCAATTGAGCCTCCCCAATCACTGTCAGAGTACCCGACCAGTTTGAACTCTCTACTTCTTGTGTATCTTATGCCAAAATTGCAGGTTCCTTTGACATATCTTATCACTCTTTTAGCATCCTTGAAATGCAATTCACTAGCACAATGCATGAATCTAGACAAGATACTCACAGCATTCAAAATATCAGGCCTAGTTGCAGTGAGATACATCAAGCATCCAACAATTTTTCTGAATTGTGCTTGATCAACCTTCTCGGCTCCATCTTCTTTACATAGCTTCTCCTTTTGATTCATAGGAGTGCTTACTGCTTTGCAATCTTCAAGTTTGAACTTTTTGAGGATTTCTTTGGCATACTTCTTCTGACATATGAACACTTCATGTTCAGCTTGCTTAACTTCCATTCCAAGAAAAAAGGACATCAAACCCAAATCTGTCATCTCAAATACACTCATCATCTCTTGCTTGAACGTCTCCACATTATTGTTGTTATTTCCTGTTACAAGCAAATCATCAACGTAAAGTGAAATGATAAGGATGTTATCACCATTTTGCTTGATGTAAAGAGTCGATTCAGAGAGGCTTTTAGTGAATCCCAAGTGCTGCAAATGTTCATCGATTCGGCTGTACCAAGCTCTTGGAGCTTGCTTCAATCCATATAGTGCCTTCTTAAGAAGACAGACTTTGTCCTCATCTCCTTCATTTGCAAAGCCTTCTGGTTGCTCAGTATAGATCTCCTCCTGCAAAACACCATTTAAAAACGCTGACTTGACGTCCATTTGATACACCTT